CCCCAGCAACTGCTCTGCAATCCTAAAAAAAAAAAAAAAAAAAAAAAGAAAAGAAAACTGAATCAGAGCCAATGGCAAAGCACAACTATTGAAAGGAGTCATTCAAAGAACTATAGTATTTAGGCCAGGCATGGTGGCTCACGCCTATAATCTGCCCGAGGCGGGCAGATCATGAGCTCAGGAGTTCGAGACCAGCCTGACCAACATGGTGAAAACCCCGTCTCTACTAAAAATACAAAAATTAGTTGGGCTTGGTGGTGCCTGCCTGTAATCCTAGCTACTCAGGAGGCTGAAGCAGGAGAATTGCTTGAACTCGGGAGGTAGAGGGTTGCAGTGAGCTGAGATTTTACCATTGCATTCCAGCCTGGGTGACAGAGTGAGACTCCGTCTCAAAAAAAAAAAGAACTATAGTATATAAAATTCTGACCACAAGAAAAACCCAGCATGGGATAAGCCCCAACATGTAGGAAATATTCTGAAGCAAGCCACCCAGTGTTAATAATAAAAAAGAGTTTTTCTACACTGCAGAATGTTTACTAGACCAGAAGTTCCTAGATCACTTGAGAGATAGTGGCATTAAGCATATCTGAGTGACAAGCTCTACAGGGTGGCAAGCAGTGAAAGTGATAGGATTTAATCTTATTTTTAAGACCAAATCATCATAAAGTTTCTGACAGACGCATAACAGTTCCCCCAAAGTGAGAATTCAACCCCATAAAACAAGTTTTTGCTGTTGTAAACCACACAGAAGACTCTGGAAGTAGCAATTCCCTGCTGATTAGCATAGCAGGACTGGTCCACAGAATAAGAGGGATTTATGCAGTCCAATAGCTCCAGAACAATTGTGCATCCCAGTAAACAGGCCTGTGTATATTACTCAAGAAAGTATTTTAGCAACTGGGATACTCGCATTCTTGGACAATGCTAGCATCTCCCAAGGCAATGGCTCTAAATTAAATTAGTTCTAGGTCTTGGAAGTAGCAAGACAAGGAAGAAACAGATCAGGGACCCTTGCCTACGGAACCACTAGTAACTTTTCTTCTGGTCCAGGCTAGAATGGGTAGCACAATAACCATGACTACAGCTGTCACTTATTATTAGATCTATTGAACACTGACATTTAATTCTCACAGTAATCCTATGAAAACAATTGTTTGAATCTTTAGTTTGAAGAAATGAAAATGAGGCACATAGTTTAGGTAACTTGTCCAAGGTCACAAAACTAGTAAGTTCCAGAAATAAATCAAGGTCTGACTCTAAATCTTGTATGCCCTCCCAGAGTCAGACCCAGAAAACTATAAAAGACAAGTACAGTAGAGTCACATCTTAACACAGGAGTTAGGTCCTAAGGTCAGTGAATAAGGCATATACGCTGTCAAAATTACTCTTGCAAATCCTAGAAAGAGCTCCTAAAGAATTCTCATTTTGAGATCTTTTATCACAGAATAATATATTCAGATTTTAAATTATTTAAGTGTTTAACCACTTAACAACACTTCATCATTTTTATTACTCTCCAACTTTTCAGCTCTTATTTATGTTCACTATTTTCATTTTCTGTATATAATTTTATCTGTCCCTCTTTGGTCAGTGCTACTTTCTGATTACTTATTTAACTCTACCTTATTGATGGAGGATCTTGTGGAAGCAGTTTCCAATTACTTCCCTGCCTCCTAAATAATAGCATTCCATTTTACCTCAGTGAGTAAGTTCCATAAGAGCTGATCCATTGCCCATGAAGGTCTAGGAGCAGTAGCTGTCATTCAATAAACATGGGACGAATATGGATAAATAATAAGGAAACCCTTAAAATCATTAAACCATTTCCCCTCAGATTTTAGAAACACGCACTGAGGATTTCAAGCTTGACGAGGTGCATACAATAAGAATACAGTATGGACAGCAAATAAAAGAACAGTATATTTGGTTCTCATCTCCATTTCTACATATGTATTCAATCAATGGAATAACTGACAGACTTCTCCACACTAAAGTATTATTTATTCCCTATCCCCTTGTTTTCTGACCAAGAAGAGAAAGTTCAATCTGTATAATTTAAACATATATATTATGCAAATTCCCTATGTGTCTGTTTTAAAGAAATTGAAGGAAAAAGTTCACTGGAATGTGATACCTGAAAAATTTCAAGATACCTGAAAAATTCCTTTTAGAAAATCCATGAAAGACTATTCAGAACAGACAATATGACAAAGAAAAACATTCCTTTGAGAACTTTTCATTTCTTTTGTGAGATTCACGGAGTCTCAAAAATGCTGACACTGAAGAAAGGCCTGGAGTCTAGCCAAAGAGAAAAGTCTACAATGTTACTTCCAACACCCTCACAATTGGAGAATAGGCAGGAAACACTCAGCTGGGAAAAAATCCAGAGAAACTCATTTCTATCCTACCAAACATGGACATTCTGACCTAAACAAGCATTAAGAGACAGAAGGAGAGGAGGAAAGAAAACATAAAAGGCTTCTACTTACCAGAGTTGCAGGGCACTCCTCAGGCAGATAAAAGATAGAGCCTTATGGAGCAGCTCAGCCGTATCACACACACAGTGTAAGCTTGGTGTTAGCGTCCAGCATGCGACTGTTTGTTTTTGCAAAAAAGAACCCCAAACAGGTCGTCCTCTTTTCCCTTTGTGCATTTGTGCTTAAACTCCAAAGGGTTAGTGAAACTTGTAAGCAAGGATGTCAGTTAATCAGAACAATACTTCACATGAAACACACAAACAGTACAGGAGACACATCATGCTCAATGTAGTGGTGCTCAGCAGCTTGTCTTTCTTTTTTTCTTTCTTTCCTTTTCCCCCCTTTTTTAACCTTTCAAAATGAGAACTGGATGTTCTCAGCAAGCAATTGTTAAAACTTTTCACATACTCCCTTATATGGTGAAGCAACAAGCCACTGGAAGTGGGCTACCTTAAATGGAGAATGTTACACTAGCACTTTGTTTTTTGAAATATACCATCAAATCATTGCTAGTTCTGTCTTGTGGTCTTTACAACTCCAGCTCCTGTTGCACAAAATTTATATCCAAGGACCAGAATCAAGACATGCTTTGTCTGAATATCATTTTGAGCATCATCTGGACCAAATTTGACTATCACATGAGCTTAATTTTGGCCTGCCCCACATAAGTTGGCCATTGCTTCACAACATAGGAAATAAGCAGGCAAACACACATATATATCCCAGAGACACATGTATATAATATGATAAGTGTACACACACGCACAGGTATCCAGGAAGAACTTAGGACAACCAGCAGGAAATATGATGACTTTCATATGGTCCAGGAAATGAACATGGAGGGGAACTGGTAAAGATGCCACATGATGAGATGACTATGGGTGAGGGGAACCAGCGTCTTAGTCAGTGAAACTACTCTACTAGTTTGCTTTGGAACTTAATATTTCTCATTGCCTTAGTGTGGAGGGAAGAGGTTCACAGGTTTTTCTTTCCAATATCCAGAACTCTTGGCTATCAACTTTCATGTGACAATGCCACAAGGGAGTATCTTACTGCCCTGTGATCATATACAATACAGAATTTATGTTCTCCTCAACTGCTGTCTGCCACAAAATGGCATAAGACAAAAAAGGTGAACCAGGTCTAAAGGGTTAGCTATGTCTTCTAGTGCTCTTGACTGACCAACACATCATGGAACCCCAGTAAAGAAACACAAGACACATGGCTGCTAAGGTGAGGTTAAAAATTAAGTCACATTGGTCATGGAAAGCTAGTGATCATGACTCTGAATCAGCAAAGCTGCTTTCATACCATTCAAAAGGTATCCACCCAATATTTGGAGATGAAAACTAAAAGTACCTTTTGTTCTGTCTGGTGAGCCAACTGGCTCTGAAGCTGCTGAAGCTGATTTGCAGAACCATCACAAAGGTCATGGTAAGCCTGGTTTAGGGCATTCAATTGCTCAGATATTTGTTTCTTCTCTTTTTCTGAGAGCCTGGAAGATGAAGCATTAAAGTTTTTTTAGTGAAAAAAAAAAAAATCTCCAAACTCTGCTCTATTGCTTCAAAATTACTACTTCTTCATCTTGGATGGATGATCTTCTTCCATATTCATGGGAGACTCTGGCATTTCACTCAGTTTTTCTGTCTATCTCAGATCAAGTCACGGTTCTTGCTGATGTCAGTGCTATGTCCACCCCATGCTTGTAGTTCAAATGACCTCATCTCCACTTTAGCCCCACCTACAAACGTCAAATTTAGAGCCTTCTATCATCTGAAATTATTCTGCTTCTGAAATCTTAGACTTCAATAATCCACTATATGATTATAACTCTACCTTCCAGTTTTATCTTTCTTTACTCCTTCTATACCTATTTTCTTTTTAAAATAAAATATTTAAACAGGCAGAAGAATATAACAAATTCTCATTTACCTGTTATCTAGCTACCCAGCTTTCACTACACGATTTATTATTTTACATATGTGCTTTAGGCCCTTTTCTTTTTTTCTTTTTTTTTTTTTTTTGAGATGAAGTCTCACTCTGTTGCCCAGGTTGAAGTGCAGTGGTGCAATCTTGGCTTACTGCAACCTCCACTTCCTGGGTTCAAGTGATTCCCCTGCCTCAGCCTCCCGAGTAGCTGGGATTACAGGTGCCTGCCACCACACTGAGCTAATTTTTGTAATTTTAGTAGAGACGGGGTTTCACCATGTTGGCCAGGCTGGTCTCAAACTCCTGAACTCAGGTGATTCTCCTGCCTCAGCCTCCCAAATCACTGGGATTATAGGCACGAGCCACCGCACCTGGCGGCTTTAGACCCCCCTTTTCTAAGAAATAAGACATTACAGATATAATTTTAAAGCCCACTGTATATTTGTCACTGAGTCCATTCCTTTCCCTTTCTTCCCAAAGGTAACCACCTCTTGAATCTGATGAATCCTGCAACTTTCTTTTTTCATTCCACATTATGTTTCTGAGAATGAACTCTGTTGATTCAAATGGGAACTATCCATCAACTCATGGATATGTCCTAAGCCTTCCTTAACACCTCTATTTCCTCTTATTCTATTAGTCTTCTCTATTAAGTTTCTTTTCTTCAGAGGCCAGACCCCACAATCCACATTCTTAATCAGTTCCCTACCATTATCCTTGCACTCTCCACTGACTAACCTGATAAATGTCCAACCCCCAATCAATCAAACCATCAGTCTCTTCTGCTCCTACACTAAGGCTGCTAGGTAAATCCAGTTAGAGAAAGAAAAAAAAAATTCCACAACCACATAGAGAGAGCCAACTGGTTTCCAGTCTCAACTGGGCCACAATATTTCCTGACAATCCTCTTGTAAATTCCCAGCCAAGTTCTTCTTCCTTTCTCCTGGACACCATCCTTTCAACAAACCTTTCTGCCTATTTCAAAGAGAACACACAGACCACTGGGCACTAATTCTCCTACTTTCTGGCTTCAGTCCCAACAAATTTACCTCTATCTATACCTTTCTTAATCTCCTTTCCCTCATCTCCACCTCAGAAAAAAAGTGGCCTCAATTTCCTGTTTAAGGTTGTACTTTCTAATGATCAATGAGTTTCATCCTCTTGCATGTCCACTGGGACCTTTCTCTAATTATTTCCTTCCCTTTGTCCTTAGATTTACTCCAAAACATAGTTAAGTCCATTGTAGCTTTTAAGAAAACAAAACCTTCGTGATCATATACTCCATTTTTAAATATTGACTCTATTACATTTTTCCTCTCCTATGTCCTGGCTTCTTGAAAGAGCAGTTCTGTTTCACCTTGCTTGCCTCCAATGTGCTCCTCACCATACTAAATCTGACCTCATGCCACAACTTGTCACCAGAGGCACCAGAGACTTCTAACTTGCCAAATGTACAGATATTACTCAACTTTTCTTGACTTCTGAACTTCTCTCCTTTTTGGAACTCTGTTCTTTCTTGGGTTGTGAGTTATCACTCATATTTTCCTTTTCCTTCTCTGAGGCTTCCTCAACAGGCTGAGAAGCCCCGAAAAACCCTTTGGAGTAATCTACCCTCATGCTTTCTAATACGCTGATAATCCAAATCTCTGTCACTTTATGTGATAATTTTTAAGTGTAACCAAACCCACAGATTCATTATCCTTAACATCTCTTGAATATTAGTCTCTTCATTTCCATTCCTTGTCATTTCTTGCCTACATTATCAGAATAGCCTCTTAACAGGCCTCTCAGCCTCTATTCTCACTACATGTCCTTTCTTTATATAACTGTTCTAGCAACTTTTAAAAGCAAAACACAATCATGTTTAAAATCTCTTCCCCTAGCCAACAAATTAAATGCAAACTCCTCAGTATGAACTACAGGGTCGCCCATAATCTGACTCTTGCTGCCCTGAATTCTCCAGTCTGAAATCTCATTACAGCCATAAGTTTTAGCCTGATAGACCAGGTGCCCCAGATGTGCCATAATCTCTCATTTAATACTCACTTATGACCATGCTTGGCCAAGAAGATCTGTGATGTTTTAATAGCTTCAGAGACTTGTTCTTTCTTTGTTGTCAGCTCTTCTGCCAGAACCTACATGGTAGAAATAAAGAGAAAAGGCTTCAAAACCCAAGAAATAACAGTCAAAATTTATTTTAAAAAAATTTTTTAATCCTAGAGAAAACATGCAGCTTAGGTCAAATTATCACCAATGAGCTACAGCTGATAAAAAGGTACAAGAACAAACAAGATGGCTTCTTAAATTTCTTTAAGTTAACATTTACTTAGGTAGCAATCACTTCTGAAATGGCCCACATGTGACTTCTACTATTCCACCTAATGCATTAACATGTATTATTCTACCCAGATAAACAGAGATGGACCTTCCTCTCACCTGCTGTTCCAAAATAGCTTTTTCAATGTCTGTTGATTCTTTGGTCTGGGATGAGGTAGCTTTTCCTTGTGTATTCCTCGCTAGGGTAGACACCCAGCCCAAAAGTTCTTTAACCTTCTCCACATGTTCTTGTTTCTCCTCTTCTACCACTTTCTAGAATAGGAAATAGAAAATCAATATTCTAGCAATGTCTTTTATTAGGTTGGCATGACTTCAGATTTTCTTAAATGAAGTCTTCCTAAAAACAGATACAAAAGTTACCTAAATAAGTAGGCTGTGAAAATAACCCCAATTTAGCCAGGCTACAGAATTGCTCACAGGTGTTTGTGAGCTGAATTTGTTATACCTAGGTTTAATACCGTTCTGAAAAATACAAACAAATATAATAGGCACTCAATAATTATTTAATGATTTTTTAAAAAATCTCTTCACATATAGCATCTTACTCATTTTCATAATTCTTAGGTTTACAGGTGAATCTGTAAGAAGAGGAGAAGAGGCTGAAGCCTACTGAGATTATATTATGTAGGTATGGATATAAAGAAAGTCTTGCTAATTTAAAAAGCAAAACATGGTATGGTTAATGTTTTAACAGCTTTTCTTTTATAAGAGAGACTGAATATGCAGAAACTTATTTTACAAAGACAGAAGATTTTTATAATTACAAAAAGATGACATGCTCATTACAATAAATTCAAACAAGTCTAAAACACATAATTATGTAATTTAATCTTATTTCCACAGAAATTTGGTATAAATGCCTATAAACTTCTTTCTATGCCTTGTTATGTCTTTGTAGTATACAGTTTTGTTTTTAATGAAATCATAATTGTACATAGTATTCTAACTTCCTTGTCTCTCAAAAATTATATAACAATTTAATTGTATAATATATATTACATATATTACATATATAACATATATAATTTTTTGCTGGTTTTAAAAAATTTTTTAATTTTTGTGGGTACATAGTAGGTGTATATATTTATGGGGTACATGGGATATTTTGGGCTTTTTTTTTTGAGACAGCCTATTGCCCCGGATGGAGTGCAGTGGCACAATCATGGGTCACTACAGCCTCAATTTCCCAGGCCCAAGTGATCCTTCCACCTCAGCCTCCCAAGTAACTGGGACCACAGGCATGTGCCACCATGCCCAGATAATTTTTAAACATTTTTTGTAGAGAGGGGATTTCCCTATGTCACACAGGCTGGACTCAAACTCCTAGGCTCAAGTGATCTTCCCACCTCAGCCTCCTGGGTACCAGAGACTACAGGCACACACCACCATGCTGGCTAAACTGTTTTACTGCACTTTCAAGATAATATTGGACCCAATTGTCCTCACCTCCTCCTCCTCCAGACGCCGGAGTGCATCACTGATGTATTTCACGTGCTGAGTTGTTAAAGTCACCAATGCTGTGTAGCGAGTCCTTAAGTCCATGAACTGTGGTTCAAAAGAACAATTTAAATAAATCATCTGCCAGAAAATGAAATGTAAATAGTTGAAAATAAGAGGAAATGTTCATGGAGTCACATGTTCACCAGAAAAGTGAGCCCTAAATCAAAATATAAGGCCCAGGCAAATGAATCTTTCCTTAAGGGAAGGCAGTGGTGTATTTCCTTCCGCCACCCTCTCACCTCTTGAGTGATGGCATCTGAAGAGGAAAGCATGCGACGGCGCTTGCCAGGGGATTTCTGCTGCGATTCCACAAAGGCCTTGTATGTCATCAGTTGCAATTCATAGTCCTAGGAAAGGATTAATTTCACTACAGTTACTCAGGGTTTCATAATTCACATACATCATGTAATAAATCATAGCTTTTTATTGCTAGAAGCATTTTGGTGACCACTCAGGCTAGAGGTTAGCAAACTTTTCCTGTAAAAGGCCAGGCAGAAAATATCAGGCCATACTATATATGTGAAAGCAGCTATAGGCAATATATAGATGAAAGAGTGTGGTTGTTAGAATAAAACTTTACTTATGAACACTGAAAACTGAAGTTCATATAATTTTCACATCATAAAATATTATTCTTTTGATTTTCTTTTCAACCTTTTCTCATTGGCCATACAAAAACAGGTGTGTGGACAAGATTTGGCCTGTGGGTCATAGTTTGCTGACCCCTTAGTTGCAGTCTGACCAACCCTTTCATCTCATCTGTGGGGAAAGTGAAACCCAGAGATGGGATGTGAATTTCCCTAATTAACTAAGTGGGTAAGTAACAGAGTCAAGATTAGAATCTTAGTTTTCTAATCCCTAAACCAGTGTTGTCATTTTACCATATTATTCTGCCACTTCCTCTGCAACCCTGCAAGTTCTGCCCTAGTCTACTTGCTTCTTCTCTCACATGAAGTAGCCTTATGAGTGCAGTAGCCTCTTATGTACTTTCACTGCTTCTAGTCTCATCTCAATCTATTCTCTATTGTTCCATCAGAATACTTTTTCTAAAACCCAAAGATGACCACATCATTCTTCTCCTTAAAAAGCTTTCAGTGATCTAGAATAGAGCTTTTCAAACACCAACATGCATATAAATTATATGGGGATCTTATTAAAATGCACAATCTGATTCAGCAGGTCTGAGATTCTACATTTCTAATAAGCTCCCAGGCGATACTGATGCTACTGGTTCAAAGATAACACTTTGAGAAGCAAGAATAGAAGACAAAGCCAAAACAATGGAACAAGGCCTGTCATGGGTTGGCCCCAATCTCACCTCTCATTTTCCATAGTCACTGTTCCTTATTATGCCTTCTAGCTATACCAGAATACTCTCTATTTCCTCTATAATCAAGTACTTTCATTCTTCTCTGCCTGGGATTACGCAGTTCCTTTGCCTAAAACGTCCTTCTGCTGTCTACTTAAAAAAACTCTGAGTACAAGGAAAACAAGGAATGAATTTGTAAAGGAATCCATAAAAAATAGTAGTAGCAACATTAAAATAATTATAATCAAAGCAATCGCTACCACTTGCTAAGTGCACTTTAAGTTTGAGGCATGGTCCTATGTATACATTATCTCATTTAATCTTTGCAATCACTCAGTGAGGTATTATTGTTCTCATTTTATAGATATAGTAACAGAAACATATGCTAAGTGCATACTCAAAGTAAGCCTGGAAAATGGTGAAGGGTTTGAACTCAACTCTTTCTTACAGTGAGTGTTCTGTTATTAACTAAAGGAATGCCTTCATTCAAAAGTATTTGTTAAGCATCTTCTATGTACTTGCCATTGTTTTGAGTGCTATACACACATACTGAGAAACAAGTCAGGAAAAACTTTGCTCCCTTGGAACTTATATTCTAGTAAGAGTCACAGAATAAACAAATAAATATACAATAATCTCAAGTTATTTTTTTCTTTTTTTTGGAGACAGAGTTGCCCAGGTTGGAGTGCAGTGACACAATCACGGCTCAATAGCCAAAATGTCCCAGGCTCAAGTGATCCTCCCACCTCAGCCTCTTGAGGAGCTGGGACTACAGGTGCACACCACTACACCCAGCTAATTTAAAAAATTTTTTGTAATGATGGGATCTTGATGTGTTGCCCAGGCTGGTCTCAAACTTCTGGAATCAAGTAACCCTCTTGCCTTGGCCTCCTAAAGTGCTGGGATTACAGGTATAAGCCACCACACCTGTTCTCAAGTCATTTTTCTTTAAAGATGTTCTAAGAGAAATAGGGGAGAGCTAAATTATTCACGGCCTTACAAACCATGTAAGGATTTAGAATTTTATTATGACTTTTATTGACATGATCTTATTTACCATATTTCATCTATTCTAAGGTACACATTTTCTCCACATTTTAGTCTTTCAAATTGGAATATATCTTAGAATCAATGGCATGTTACATAATTGGCAGAGTTTCTTCTTTTTTCCTCTTTTTGGCATGCAGAAAATTATAGTGTAGCTTGTAATCAATGGAGTCTAAGATTCAGTGACATGCAATATGTTCTAAAAAGGCGATTTTGGCTACTGTGTGGGAAAACAGCCTGTGGGGGTCAGAGCAGAAGCAAGAGACCAGCTCAGAGGGTACTGTAGTAGTCTTCAGTACAAGATTCTTCACTGGAATGTGAACTAGGGAAATATAGGGGGAGATAATGACAGGTAGTCAGATTTGGGACATGCCTGAAGACAGAGCCAAAGGAGAATATAAAGCTTAAGGCAAAGATGAGAGTTTAGGATGACTCCTGGGTTTTTTGCCTCAGCAACTACAAAAAAATGGCAATACTATTTCCGAGATAGGAAAGACAAGTAAGAAGCATATTTAAGAAGAAAACTCAAACATTCTGTTTTTGCCATGTTAAGTTTAAATGGCCTACGTCATGCAAATGGAGATTCCTCAAATCGCAGCCAACATCTTCTCCAAGCAACCCCAAACATAGGGTTGCAGGAAATATACATCTGCTTAACTGAAGGATCAGGCCAGCTTCTAGCATAAGAACTCTGCTTAATTTGTCCAGAAATAGAACCTACAGTGAAGATGTAGGTTTTCCTGAGCTGGTGATGATTCATGTTCTTTTTGGGATGTGGTAAAGTTACCTTTACAATAGTAGAGTACTGCTGGGAAAATTTTTGACATTGATCCAGTTTTGTCTGATTTCTCTCAATTTCTGCAAATAAAGCCTAGGAAGCAAAATATCACAACATTATCATTGCCATTACCACCATTGAAACAGCTGAATATTTACTATGTTCTAAGGCAGTAGTTTTCAAACCTTAGCTGCATCAGAATTGCTGGAAAGGGTGGTTAAAACACATACTGTGGGGCCTCACCTCCAGAGTTTCTGGTTCAGTGGGTTTGGGTTCACAAATTTGCACTTTTTTGTCTTTTTAATCTTTTGTAGAGACAAGTTCTCACTTTCTTAACCAGGCTGGTCTCAAACTCCTTTCCTCAAGTGATCCCCCTGCCTCAGCCTCCCACAGTGCTGCAATTACAGGCAGGAGCCACTGTGCTGGATCCAAGAACCTGCATTCCTAACACGTCCCCAGGTGATACGGATGCTGCTAGTCTGGGGTCCACACTTTGAGAACTACTATTCTAAGTATTTTATATGTATCACTTCAGTTAATCCTAGCAACAATAATCTCATAAGGTTAAATAAATAACAAACTATGTCCATTTTATTGATAAGGAAGTAGAACACTGCGAGGCTAAATAACTTCTTCAAAGGCTTATAGCAGATAAGTGAGCCAGGATTGGAATCCAGGCAATACAACTCCAGATCTCATACTTTTTTTTTTTTGAGATGGAGTCTCACTCTGTTGCCCAGGCTGGAGTGCAGCGGCATGATCTCAGCTCACTGCAAGCTCCGCCTCCTGGGTTCACGCCATTCTCCTGCCTCAGTCTCCCGAGTAGCTGGAACTACAGAACCACACCCGGCTAATTTTTTGTATTTTTAGTAGAGACGGGGTTTCACCGTGTTAGTCAGGATGGTCTCTATCTCCTGACCCCGTGATCCGCCCACCTTGGCCTCCCAAAGTGCTGGGATTACAGGTGTGAGCCACCGCGCCTGGCCTCATACTCTTAACCATAATGCTAAACAAAACAAAACAAAATGCCAACAACAAAAATGCTTAAAATGAATCATTTTCAAAAAAAAAAAAAAAAAGAATCATTTTCATCTACTTAGAATTTTCCCTTGGTTTTCAAAACCCCATATCTAATCCTAGTAAAATAAAATGTAATCTAAAGAAACAAAATAAAGACAATTTTAATCTGTCCATCTAGTGGTTTCAATACAGTTACAGAAACTCAGAACTGAAGGTACCTGAAGGTACCTGACAGGCTCTCTAGTCTAAATGCAAAGCCAGTATCTTGGGACCATCCTGTTCAAACCACGCTAAGAAAAGGGAACTTGGAATATCTTCCATTTGGAGGAAGCTTTAATTGCTAGTACATCATTTTCTTTTATGATAAACAAAATTTAAATTTCTAACTCTTCCCTCCAGAGCTAATACCACACTCACTGTCTGCTGGCTGAGCTGCTCCGAAAGCACTCTGCTATCCTCTGCCTGGCCTGGCTTCATCATTTCCTGCTGGGCAGTGGTTTCCTCAATCCACTTGATGAGAGTTCCATGGCAGGCTCGGTAATCTCCCAGAACTTCCTGGATACTTTCTAGTTCAGATTGGCTAGAAGAACAAAGGGAAACTGCTATCAGATACCTTGGTACAAATACAGTAAGGTAAATGAGGTAATTCCCTCTTTAACCCATGTGTCCAGTTGGGCTTGACCACAAATGATCCATTTTTATCTATGGGGAACAGCGATGTAAGGCTGAGTGAGACCTATGCATGTATCAGCACCCTATGGTCGAAAAAGTGAGTAGAACCAGTCGTGACCTGCTAGCCCTGGATGCTGCCTTGTGGTCTAGCATCCCACAATAATCCTTGTCAAGTTTTTCACCTACGTTGCCAAGAATTACCAGGGTGACCAATAAGGTAGTATTGGCTGTACAGTTCTATTCCCTGAAGACAGAGTATCTGTCAGTATAGCACAGCTATGATTTGTGAATCACTATAATTTCTCAGGGCAGAAAGGGGAGAGAAGTGAAAAATAGTCATTATTTCCTGTTACTTCCTGGTTAGACTTCTCTTAGTCTAACCAGCTTTGTGATAATACTCCAATTAGAATGAAAACTTACATGAGCTGTTAAGCTCCTCTCCCTACAAATTTCCCTAACCAGCTTAGCCTCCAAAAGGTGCAGTTTCTATCCTTCCTATTTATATCTGTCATTAGAAGCAGGACCTCTAGTAACAGAGATGAAAAGTTACTGAATTAGCAAATGAGATGAAAGCAAGAAATTCTGTAAAGCCCCATCATGAAAAAATGGCTCATATTTGGATACAAAGCTAATAAAACAAGAACTAGAGTATAGGTTTTGTCCTTGAGAAGTGACCTTTCAAGTCTACATTCCAGGAAGCCACTGACATCAACGTCTTAACTAGAAAAGACCTGGGACACAGGAGAGGCATTACATCTGCTTTGGGATTGCGGGTCTCACTTTTCTATCACTTACCTTGTCCAGAATTTATGTGGTTTTTAAATTTCCACCTCTCCCTATACATTTCTACCTTTAAATATAAACGTACAGATATAACTCTGTTTTTGTTTAAGACCTAGTCCCTGAACTCTGATAGGAGAAAAAGGTGGGGCCACCACTCACCGAATCTCGAGTTGGGCAATGACTCGGTGCCAACGCTCCTGCAGCTGGGAGCCTTTTTCCTGATAGCGCTCCAAATCCAGGTTTCGCTCTGGCGTCAGACGACTCATCTGCTCTGCCACTGCCTTGGCCTTGTCAATTTCCTCATCCAGGACTGAAAACACTGAATTCTTGTCCTTCACATCACTAAACCAGTGCTATGGAAACATAAGTACAGAAACAGGCTGTATATTTTCCATGCTAAAAAGGAGTCAGTCTAAGGTAGGAAACAAGGACACGGTCTACAGCTAATTCCACATTGTATCTGTGATTGTGCCCTGGAACGTTTGTGGCAGGACTGCCTCCACATGTCATGGTCTCTGCTTTCCTGATACACACTGGGATGTCAAGGACAGACAGTACTCTATAGAGAAATGTGCATAGTACTTGTGTTTGAAACCTGGCTTCCCCACTTATAACATATGAAACCAAGATAAGTCATTTAGCCAGACTAAGTTTTGGTTTTCTCATCTGTAAATGGAAATAAAAATCTCTTCTTGTCCACCTCAAAGAGTGACTTGTGAGAATCAAATTAGATAACAGCTAAGTGATTTATAAACTTAGGGCACAACCATTGACTGTATCCAATTAAGCCATGATTTTATTCAGGTGAAAAGGGAAAAAATAAATCGAAAAACATAGTCCTTTCTCTTGCCTTTCTAGCTAGACATACTTCTCAGTCCCTTCTTCTTCGAATACATATTAAACTATGTTTAATATGGCATTCTGCCTTATTCAAATGCTAATTTAAATCAGTGTCATGCCATCCAAAACTGCATTTCTCTGCTAACCCAAAGCGACGAATATGTTAAGTCGGCCTCCTAAGAAACTCAGAGCAACTCACCCGTAATGTCGACCGATGGGCCTCCAGAGCTGAGAGATCTGCCAGTACTGCTTCTTCTTGACTCAGCTTAATCTCATAACCTTTGACCAAGAGTTCGGCATCCTGTATGCTACGTACTATAACATCAACTGTCTTTAACCTATAGGGACAAATACACATTCCTTCATTAACACATGCATTTTAGGAGCCAGGGTTATGTACCTGGAGTGCTATAGAGAGGTTCATAAAACAAAATGACCAAAATCAATGCCACCATTTTTAGATATTGACAGGGTTTTCTGAAAACAAGTAAACATGGTTTTTATGCTGCCAATTTAAGCCAATTCAAAATAAAGTTCTAAGTGGCACTGGAACATGCATACACGTGGTGGACTCATGGAGGAAAGGCATGAAGCCAGAAACCCATTTTACACTATGAAGAGTTTAAGATGTGCTACTCTTCAAAGTCATGGGTAGAGATGGGTGGGAAAAGGGAAGACCTGCAAAGTCTAATACCTAGTTCAACTAAAAACTTTTCGTTTTATTCTTTAGTTTCTCTTCCTTTCTCTTCATTCCATTAAGTATTATTTTCAGAAATATTTAATCAAACAGAAGTGAAGTAAATCATAGTCGTAACATTGCAAATTAATTCCCCATCCATATCACTGGCACTTCTACACTGCAGTCCAAATGAACCTACTTAATATTACCAGGAACTAAAGCCAAGACCTCTCATTATCAGTACATGCTCTTCAGGATCTATAATCTCTCTCCATTATTCATGAAACACTCTAAGCCTTTCTCTTTCTTATCCCAATGGAAAATATTGCCCTTGGGCCCAAAACCTCAGCTCACTCACTTATTCAGATATACAGTAGAGAGACCATAGACATGGTCCATCTTCTCCACCAGAAGATTCAGTTCTGAGCGCAGAGTTGGGACACTTGAACTAGATGGAGACTGATGGAGAAAGCTGTCACATTTCATAGAAACTGCATCCAAGTCTGACCTCAGTTGCTGTAAATCCTCCTGGGTGTGCTGCCAGGAACAAGACACACATAAAGAAGGAGAGAGAATTGAACAAAAAAGGTAGAAAGAGGTCCTTATTTGTAATAGCTAAATATTGGAAACCACCTAAATGCCCATATACAGGAGGCTGGTTGAATAAACTATGAAACAGCCATATGATGGGGAATTATTCAGCTGTAAATGAAATGAGAAAGATTTCTGGGAATTAAGTGGTTTTAGCATATATTTTTAAGTAGAAGAAGCAAAGTCAACAGAGTATAGTATGTTATATTTTGTATATAAAAGAAGGGAAAATGAGAAAATATATGTATATATGTTTATGCAAACGGACAGACAGAAAGGATAGCCAGAAACTAATGAGATGAAAAGAATGGAATTGAAAGAATCAAATGAAGGCAAATGGGATAAAAGGACTAGCTAGAGGGCAATACACTTCTTTTTGTATAGATTTGACTTTTAGAACCATGTTAATGTTTTACATTCTTATAAAGAAATAAATAAGGAAAATTGAGGGGTGGCTCTCAAATGGAACACAACAGAAATATATAAGCCTAACTGTATTTCAGATAAATAACATAATCACACTGAAAGGGAAGAAGGGGTATGAACACACGCAAGTAATTTCCAAACATAGTATTCGAACTATAGATATACCTTTAGGTTAAAGACAAAAGGAACTATAAATAAATGTTAAACTCTAATTTGGTAGGTTTGTTTATTGCAGTGAGTTAACAATTCTGAAACTACTATTTGTAAATGCTAGGACTGAACAATAAGTAAATATATTGTGGATAACATAAAGCAGGTTTTTCAGACTTGGGGAAGGGGGTTAAAAATATGGAAAGAGGCTAGAATAATCCCTGTGCTATGGGTTGGGAACTGGATGGAGACAAATACATACGAATTTGTGTGTGTGTGTGTGTGTTTGTGTGTGTGTGTGTGAGAGAGAGAGAGAAATTGAGAGATCAATATACTGACCTATATTTATATCTGTAAACTTACACACATGTATATGTGTGTATATGTAACACATGTGTGTACATGTGTGTGTATATGCATATATATATATTTGTAAATATATGTTTCTTTTTTTTTCTTGAGACAGAGTTTCACCTTGTTAGGCTGGACTGCAAGGGCACGATCTCAGATCACTGCAACCTCCATCTCCTGAGTACAAGCGATCCTTCTGCCTCAGCCTCCCAAGTAGCTAGGATTATAGGCACGTGCTACCATGCCCAGCTAATTTTTGTATTATTGGTAGAGATGGGGGTTTTACCATGTTGGCCAGGCTGGTCTCCAACTCCTGACCTCAGGTGATCCACCTGCCTTGGCCTCCCAAACTGCTGGGATTATAGGTGTGAGCCACCACACCCGGCCTATGTTTTCTAGCTCTGTCTGCTAAGTGGGCCTATAAGCAATAATAGTCCCACAACAATGAGTACATTCGGCACCCAGATCTTAGCTTCTAAATAATATTCTCTGCCCAAAAGAATCAGAACTCCTTGGAGAAACAGCTGATTTCCAGGGTTGAGACTGGAAAAAGCAAGATGAACCTGGAAGATCTTATTTTGTCAAAAAGAAAGAACTTCGTTGGGCATCGTGGCCCATGCCTGTAATCCCAGCACTTTTGGGAGGCTAAGGCAGGAGGACTGCTGGAAGCCAGGAGTTGGAGACCAGCCTGGGTAATATAGTGAGACTCATCTCTATCTAAAAAAAGAGAAAGAAAGAAATAACTCAAAAAATGATGGGTACATGTTAAAAGGACAAAAAAGCCAGCTTGAAGGGGCTTCCATTGGCTAACTTTGGGAAATTTTGAGCATCAAAACAATGAAAACAATGACAGTAACAAATTACACACCACTGGATAAAATAAGAATCCATGAGTATATATTGACATAAATAAATAATGAAAGAAGAAAGCAAGGGAAGGAGGGAAGAAAAAAAAGGGAGGGAGGGAAGGAAGGAAGACAAACTACAGAAAAGGAAAGAAGGTTGGTTTTTCTTTTTCCATAGAACGTAAATGTTTTTTATGTAGAAGGAATGACAGAATTAGAAAAGCAGTTTTTGGCAACTATGATACTAATAATTGATTCAGTCATGAATTAACAATGGATGTTAAAACTAGTTGGTGAAAATTTGATGAAAAATAGGATATTTACATAGTCTCCAGTACCTCCCCATAAGATACTTAGTAATTACAAAGGGAAAATAGGAACCAGAGATCAAAGTTAACATCACCAGTAATGTCACATGCATCCTTATATGACACACTAATGTACCAAGGACACAGTATTACTTCTGTAGGATTCCTGCCAAAATTGTAAGACCTAACACTAATCAGGAAGAAGCCTCAGATAACCACAAACAGAAGAACAAAATATTCTACATTTATTCTACAATATAAATGACCTACACTCATAAAAAAAATGTTAAGGTCATGAAAGATGATGGAAAGTTGAGAAACTGTTTCAAGTTGAAGAAATCTGAAGATACACAGCAACCAAATGCAGTATGTAATCCTGGACTGAATCCTGGACCTTCCTTCTTGGAGTTGCCAGGGATGGATGGTATGAGGATATAAAGGTCATTATTTGATCAGCTGATGAAATTTTAATGGTGTGTGAGCTTGGATAGCAGTATTATATCAATGTTTGTTTGTTTGTTTGTCTGTTTGAGACAGAGTTTTGCCCTGTCGCCCAGGCTGGAGGGCAATGGTGTGATCTTGGCTCACTGCAACCTCCACCTCCCGGGTTCAAGTGATTCTCATACCTCAGCCACTTGAATAGCTGGGATTACAGGCACTTGCCACCACGCCTGGCTACTTTTTGTATTTTTAGTGGAGATGGGGTTTTGCCATGTTGGCCAGGCTGGTCTCCAACTCCTGGTCTCATGCAATCCGCCCACATCAGCCTCCCAAAGTGCTAGGATTACAGACATGAGCCACCACGCCCGACCTGTATCACTGTTAATTTCCTGGTGTTTATCATTGCTCCATGGTTATGTAAGAGGCTGTCTTTTTTTTTTTTGAAGATGTACACTGAAGTATTCAGGAATAAAGGAGTTTCATGTCTGGAACTTCCTCTCAAGATAAAAAAGGAATATTATTATGTATAATATATAGAATAAAATGATAAAGCAAATGTACAAAAATATTAACATTTGGGGACTCTAGGTGAGACGTATAAGAGAATAAAACTTTTCTATATATCTTAAATTATTTCAAAATAAAGTTTTAAAAAGAAAGGTATTTTAGATGTATGTGTATATGTATCTTGAGACAGGGTCTCACTCTTTCACTCAGGCTCGAGTGCAGTGGTGCAGTTATAGCTCACTGAAGCCTCAAACTCTTGGGTTTAAGCGATTCTCCCACCTTGGCCTCCCAAAGCATCCAGTCGACCTTTATTTCTTAGTGTGTCCTATTTTTCAGGGACAAATAGATTTTGTATCATCCTATGGAAAAGTAAAAAGCTTCCACATGAGAATTCCCAGGCTCCTATGATATGCCTTATATTACCTCCCTCTCCACCAGTAAAAATCATACTTCCCTCTCACCCTTCTCTTCAGGTTTGGGGGAAAAAAATAGAAAGTTGGAAAAATCACTCCTCCTCACTGGCCGTTCCTTTCCATCTCCTTTAAGCTCCCAGATCAAATTTAATAGGCTTCATAGAGCTCTCTCATACCATTCTAATTAGAAATGTTCTAGAAACACTCTAAGTTCCTACAGCAATCTTTGCTTGGAAATATACTAGTTACTATATTCATGACATCTCTTATATCTTATACTGAAGTTTCTAATCATAATTTTAACTTTTTATTTTTCTTTCACTACACTATAAGCCAAAAAACAAGGACCTTGGCTTACTTTTCTTTGTATGCCTCAGAGGACTTAATAAAGCAATATATATTTGCTGCTTTTACTTCAAGAATACTATCCTACATTTTCATAGTATTTTACTTTTTCAGGAAGCTCATTATATGTACTATACCATTTAATTTTCAAAATAACCCTATATCGTGCATTGCCATCTCCATTTTACAAAAGTAAACTAGGGATGAGAGTTCACTTGCTCAAAGTCACAGACAGAGCATATATCAGAGTCCACATTCAAATCAGAGTCATTCCTTGTATTTACTGGTCATATGACTGAAGGTAACCAAGTCACTGAAAGTAGCACAGGCGCATAAGGGATAGAAGCAAGAGCAGCATCTTTACTAAGCAGTTTCAAAATACATAGCCCAAATATACTGCTTAGAACAATTTACTAGTCTGTTTGCCTTCTCAACTCTGTAGGAAACTAATCAACATTCAGCAATACACATGGAGCTGAAATCACACTTCTCCACAGGTAAAAGACATTTATAGACTGCAAGAAGAACTCCTGAGAAGGACTGTCTCGAGTCTATTGCCTTATTTCTTAGGTTCCATACTCTTGCCATCCAATGAACTCTGAAAGCATTCACTACACAACCAGCATCCACACTGCTCTTAGGGCTTACTTCTTGCTCTGCAATCCTTAATGCACTGTCCTGCCGGGCATCTCTGTCAGTCCTAGAGCCGGCTAGAGACTGAATTCGTTTGACCACCCTCTGTTCATACTCCTCCAGGCGTAGCCGGATGTTCTTCAACTCTGAAATGTACATCTTGGCCACAGTCTCCTCTTTGTCCTCTGTGAATGAACAAACACAAAAGACCAGTAAGTTCGACATCAGAGATAAGCAGATCTGATATCCTACTGACGAAAGCAAGGCTTTATTTAGGGAATCTTCTGCCTGATTCTACCTGATCCTAAATTTCACATATTGTATACTAATCTTTCAGAGTCCAAACATGTTACAGCCACAAGACAATGTGATAGGTTGATTAGCAGTAACAAACGAAATATCAACAGACCTCTTCTTCCATGATCTGATTTTGAGAATTCATCTATAAGTTCTTCTCTATCTCAAGTTCGTAGCAACTCAAATGGAAAAAAGCAGTGATGCTACTTTCTCATTTATATGAAGGGTTTCATAGCAACCCCTTGAAAGGCTCTCATTCTACTATTCTCTTTCCCTCTTCCCGGTGCACACACCATTCTCCATGGACTTCATCAGGTGCTGGAAGTGGGCTTTACAAGCTTCCACTTCCTCTTCCAAGCGCAAGCGATCAGCCACTGAGAACAGCACAGAGTCACGACTATCCTGCAGAAAGTCTTCATAGTGGGCCTGAAGATTCTTCATAATCTGATGACACTCCCCTGGTGCTGAGGATCGAAGCTAGAAAGAAAAAGCCAGAAGAAATTGCAACAGAATAAAAATATAACACTTTCTCTTTTCCTCCATTTTATTGAAGTAACATATATACAAAACAGTGCACAAACCATAATTGTAAACATGTGGATTTTTATAATTTGAATTCCTCCATTTAATCAGCATTCAGATTAAGAAGCAGAACATTACCAGCACCCCAGAAGCACCCTTTGTGCCCCACTGGACATAACTCTTGATAATTGTTCACAAGTATTCACCTACTACGTATTCTTATGCAAAAGACATGCTTGTCTTACAGAGTGAGAAAAAGCCTGCAACGTTCTACCCTTGCCAAGAAGACCAAAGATGTTACTTATTCTAATTAGGAGTTTCCTTTACCATTCAAATTGCTACTTCTAACTTGCAAGAACCTCAGGTCTCTAACTGTAAAATGGTATCCCTGAGTCCACTTTACTCCATTTGGGTGGGGAAAAGTCTCACAGTAAGGAAAAAAAGCTCCTTCTGAAAAAATCTTGCCAACAGAATGTGAGCCTGGGGTAAGGTTTTCATAATTACCTTTTCTAGGTTCCAGGTCTGTATAAGGTCAAGGTCTTTACGCAGATAGTTCCAAGATATAAGGCTTTTGGTGTTAACATGTAGCTGGTGCCAAAGGGCCATCACCTTCTGATAAGATTGTTCGACCCTAGAAATAACACAGAACTTGACTATTACCTTTGTAAGACTTCAGCTCCACATTAGAGATCTTCTAAGGAAAAATGTGATTGCCTTAGCAGAACTGAGCTTATACGTTGAGCAGAGAAAGGCACCAAGTCAAATACTAACATCCCAGGAATTTTTAGAACGAAATTAATTGAGGCTGGGCGTGGTGGCTCATGCTTGTAATCCCAGAACTTTTGGAGGCCAAGGTGGGAGGACTGCTTAAGCCCAGGAGTTCAAGACCAGCCTGGTTGACATAGTGAGACCTCATCTCTATTAAAAAACAACAACAACAACAACAACAAAAATACTAAACTACATTAATTAATTGGGATCTTCAACTTGGATTTGCTATAGCATTATGCATATTACGTTAGCATATATTTAGTAATTTCATAAATGTTACCTGGTTGTAATACAATGATTACAAGCCAGAGAGAAGAAATAACCAGAGAGAACAATAATAGGGAAAGGCATAAACAACATCCCATCCAGAATTGTTGAAAAATGATTATATCAATGTTTACAAATTGATTTGCTGTGTTCCAAACATTTATAAAAATGCTAAAATACTGAGAAGCTAATAGCAGTTTAAGAAATTCACCTGGTAAATAAAAGAAAACTGCATGGCTCACGCCTGTAATCCCAGCACTTTGGGAGGCTGAGGCGGGTGGATCACCTGAGGTCGGGAGTTCAAGACCAGCCTGACCAACATAGACCACCAGCCTGACTAACAATTTTGTATTAAAAATACAAAAATTAGTCAGGTGTGGTGGTAGATGCCTATAATCTCAGCTACTTGGGAGGCTGAGGCAGGAGAACTGCTTGAACCCGGGAGGTGGAGGTTGCAGTGAGCCGAGATCGTGCCATTGCACTCCAGCCTGGGCAACAAGAGCAAAACTCCATTTCAAGAAAAAAAAAAAAGAAAACTGCAGTATGAAGGGTTTGAGATTTTTTTTCCCCAAGCATCTCATGTCTAATTCAATCTTGATTTCAAGAAGACTTACGAATACACAAATACACAGACACACACTTTCTTACACACCCACCATGTTACCTTGAATTTCTTCAAGTTGAGAAAAACATGCAAGATATAAAGAACAGGATGGAAAACTAGAAGCCAGGACATCAGTTAAACAAGAGGCATTAAATCCGTAAGTTTAATCTTCCCTCTCTCCAAAAGTCCCACTAAAATTTCAGTAGAGTTGAAATTCAAAGTTCAGGAAATCTCAAAGAAGAATAAAAATATAAAAAAGCAACAACAACAACAACAATAAAGAAAATAAGAGAACATTAGAAAATCAGTTCAGGAGGTCCAACATTCAACAAATGGGAGTTTTTAAAAGCAAGAACTAAAAAAAAAAGAGAATAAAATAATTAAAGAAATAAGGTCAGTACGGTGGCTCACTCCTGTAATCCCAGCACTTTGGGAGGCCGAGGCAGGCAGATCACGAGGTCAGAAGATAGAGACCATCCTAGCTAACACGGTGAAACCCCATCTCTACTAAAAATATAAAAAATTAGCTAGGTGTGGTGGCAGATGTCAGTAGTTCCAGCTACTCGGGAGGCTGAGGCAGGAGAATGGAGTGAACCCAAGAGGCAGAGCTTGTGGTTAGCCAAGACTGCGCCACTGCACTCCAGCCTGGGTGACACAGCGAGACTCCATCTCAAAAAAAAAAAGAAAAAAAAAGAAACAATCCAGGCTGGGCGTGGTGGCTCATGCCTATAATTCCAGCACTTTGGGAGTCCAAGGTGGCAAATCACAAGGTCAGCAGTTCAAGACCAGCCTGACCAACATGGTGAAACCCCGTCTCTACTAAAAGTACAAACATTAGCTGGGTGTGGTGGTGCGTGCCTGTAAGTCCCAACTACTCGGGAGGCTGAGGCAGGAGAATTGCTTGAACCCAGGAGGCAGAGATTGCCCAGAACCAAGATTGCGCCACTGCACTTCAGCCTGGCCGACAGAGCGAGACTGTCTCAAATCATCATCATCTTCATCATCATCATCATCCAAGAAAAAACTTCCTCAAACCTGAAAGCAAGTTTCTAGTTTGTGTTCATTAGCATAATGAATACAAAAAGACTCAAAGGTGCAGCATCCCTTTTCAAGATTAGAGACAAAGAGAAGCATTTAAACACCTCCAGAGAAATAAAGATTTCTTTCAAAAGGTGAAAGTATCAAACTGTTCCGTATCATGATAGTGGTGAAGGATAAACAATTCTAAGCCTTTGTCAAAACCAATAGTACTGCTTATGACAAAAGATGAGTTTTACTATTTTGTAAGCCTAAAAAAAAAAAAAAAAGAGAAAGAATGAAAATGGCACTATACATCTAAACAAGAAATCCTGAAAGTTAGAAAGCAAGAGAGCAATGATTTCAAAGTTCAAAGTAAAAATAATTTCCAGGCTGGGCATGGTGGCTCACACCTGTAATCCCAGCACTTTGGAAGGCCGAGGCGGGCAGACTACTTGAGGTCAGGAGTTCGAGACCAGCCTGGCCAACATGGTGAAATCCTGTCTTTACTAAAAATACAAAAATTAGCCGGGCATGGGGACATGCACCTGTGGTCCCAGCTACTTGGGAGGCTGAGGTAGGAGAATCACTTGAGCCCAGGAGGTGGCAGCTGCAGTGTGCTAAGATTGTGCACTCCACTCCAGCCTGGGCAACATAGCAAGACTCTATCTCAATAATAATAATAATAATAATAATTATTTCCAAAAAAAATGTATCTTGCCAGTTAGAGGAAGAAGAAGACAAACATTTTCAGATATGAGGTCTCAAAAAATTTACCTCCTACTCAGCCTTTTTCAATAAGGCACTGGAGAGTGTAATCCACCAAACCAAGGAGTACACTAATAAATAAGACTTGGAATCTAGGAATCAGTGGGTCCAACATAGCGTGAAATATCACAGAGACAGGACCAAATCAGGCCTACAGAACAGGTACACCCACACACACCCACCCACCCACACACACACACACATACACACACACAAGATAGAATGGTCCAGAATAAATGTTTCCAAAAGAAAAATGAAAATTGCCTGTGGTGTTTGGCCATATTGGGAATCCTTTTACAGTAATGTAGGAGAGTTTGGGGACAACTAAGCAAAGTAAAAAACAAAACAATTACCCACTCCAAGGAAACAAAAATTATATAAGAAAGTAAATAAAACAGGGGTCAGGTGCAGTGGCTCATGCCTGTAAATAAAACAGGGGTCAGGTGCAGTGGCTCATGCCTGTAATCCCTGTACTCTGGGAGGCCGAGGCAGGTGGATCACTTGAGGTCAGGAGTTCGAGACCAGCCTGGCCAACATAATGAAACCCCGTCTCTACTAAAACTACAAAAATTAGCCAGTCGTGGTGGCACACACCTGTAATTCCAGCTACTCAGGAGGCAGAGGTTGTAGTGAGCCCAAACTGTACCACTGCACTCCAGCCTGGGCGACAGAGGGAGACTCGGTCTCAAACCAAAAAAAAAAAAAAAAAAGAAAGTAAATAAAATAATTTATTCGTAAATATATTCACTCACCTACTCATTCATTCTTTCATTCAACAACCATTTATTGAATACCTGCTATGTGCTGGGAATGGTTCTAAGTGCTAAAGATACAGAAGTAAACAAAATGGACAAAAATCTCTAATAGGAGAGAATAAACAAACACATAATCTGTTAGGCAATATTAAGAGTTCTGAAGAAAAATAAAATGAGTAAAGAAGACAGAGAGTGGCATGCAGTGAGTGGGGATGGTGGTCCATGAGGGTTCTAAGATAAACTGAACAAAGTGAGGGAGTGAATCATGTAAATATCAGAGGCAAGCAGGAAGTCCAAAGGCCCCGAGGCAAGAATATGTGGTCTGTGTGTGAGAAACAGAGGAAAGACCAGAGTGACTGCAGCTAAGTACAAGCAAGAAGAGAGGCAGAGGATGAGTTCCGAGACAGAGACGTAAGGCACAGTCGCCTCACAATAGTCCCCTAGAGTACGATCTGGCTCAGCTTTAAACAATGCATGTACTAATAAAACAAAAAATATCAACTTAAACAAAAACTGTGACATAACTACATTTGGAAGATGAAAGAAGCGTATGCATATATGCATGTAGAGAAAGCTAGTTAATAGATAATTTCTGAAGTTGAAAACAAACAAGGAAATAGCAGGAAAAAATTACATTCAGAAATGTGGGTTTATAACCCAGCAAAATCTGCTGAAAACAGTTGACTCTGGAAAGTGGAACTTTGGGACAG